TGGTGGGAGACATTTTTCTCCAGCTGTCAGGGGAGGATCAGCTGAAACAGAATAGCAGTCATGTTCACCAGCCACCTCTTTTCCCAAGCACCTTTCATCTTTACTCCACAGAATCAAAATGGAAGGTTCCTAAATGCAGCCACTTCTGGGGTTAAAAGGCCACAAACATTATCTACATCATGCAGGTAGATCATGCAAGGTGTATAGGCACTGCCATAAATCTATTCTTATATGGGAACTATTGCTACTCTGAAATCAGGGCTGAGTCGTTGCAGCTCATTTAATTACCGATGCATTTCCAATAGGATTAAATGGATGTCTGAGTGTGTGTTAGCACATGTTAGGATATGCTATGCTGCTAAATATCAGGGCTTTCGTATGCCTTCAAATACGCATGCTCTGTATATTTACAATAACTCATTTAGTTAATAATAATAAATATTATTAATATAAATAAATAACTCATTTAGTTAATAACTCAATAACTCATCATCCAAAGTTGAAGGCAAAAGGAAGGAAAGTATTATTGATCCAGCCATGTGCCTTTTGGTGATCGGGAGCCCTAGGTTGGGGGCAGAGCTTTAGGGCTGGTCGTAGTGAAGTGTAAACACCAGTTGTGGGAAGGAAGGTGTTTATGAACAGGAATGAAGCTGCAGGAGCTGCAGGTAGATGCAAGTTGTTGTGCCTGTAGCCATAGACTGTTCTTGTATCAGCCATGCCAAGAAGAAGCTAATGAGTTCATGGGCCTGATGTCCAAGTGTCCTGGTTTCGGCTGGGACAGAGTTAATTTTCTTCCCAGTAGCTGGTATAGTGCTGTGGTTTGGATTTAGTATGAGAAGAATGTTGATAACTCACTGATGTTTTAGTTGTTGCTAAGCAGGGCTTACACCAGTCAAGGATTTCAGCTTCCCCTGCTCTTCCAGGGGCACAAGGAGCTGGGAGGGGGCACAGCCAGGACAGCTGACCCCAACTGGCCCAAGGGCTATTCCATACCGTATGACATCATGCTCAGGGGGAGCTGGCTAGGGAAGAGCGATCACTGCTTGGGAAGAGTGATCACTGCTTGGGACAGTCTGGGCATTGGTCAGTGGGTGGTGAGCAATTGCATTGAGCATCACTTGTTTTGTATATTCTGTATTTTTTTTTATCCTCTACTTTTTTATTAATCTGTCTTTATCTCAACCCATGAGTTTTACCTTTCTTTTCCGATTCTCTCCCCCGTCCCACTGAAGAGGCGGGGGGAGCAGCTGTGTGGTGTTCAGCTGCCTGCCAGGTTAAGGCACAACACCAAGAACTGTTCTTTTTCTCTCTTTCTCTGTCTGAGAAGTACACGTATATTCATGTCTTTCCATTTTATTGCAGGGCTGCAAGCTCAGACTGTCTTAGTCAATGACACAGTCTCGGGGTTTATCGGGACAGATGTGGTCCTGCACTGCAGCTTCACCAATCCGCTCCCCAATGTGAAGATCACGCAGGTCACGTGGCAGAAAGCCACCAATGGCTCCAAGCAGAATGTGGCTATCTACAACCCTGCCATGGGGGTCTCCATCCTCTCTCCCTACAAGGACCGGGTGACTTTCCGGAATCCTTCCTTCAAAGATGGCACCATTCAGCTCTCTCGGCTAGAGCTGGAGGATGAGGGAGTTTACATCTGTGAGTTTGCTACCTTCCCAACTGGCAACCGGGAAAGTCAACTGAACCTCACTGTGCTGGGTAAGATACTGGACAAGCTTTGTAGCATGAATCATTGCCTCCCATTAAACAGATCTGGAGGAACCCGAGACTCACATCCTGGGAGCTCAGGGCAAAGGTGAATCTTGGGTGTAAATTTTACCTGTGGTGATCTTTCAAATTGACAGTAAAGAGGTGAAGAGCAGGGAACTCAGGGTGGGTGCTTCATTGAGCTATCACAGGAACGCCTCTTCCTCTTTCCAGGCCTCAGTTCCCCTCTCCTTCAGTGCAGGTGCAGTAACAGTGACCTGTTCCCTAAGAGTTTTAATGAGCTGGTGGCTGTCAAGTGAACAGAGAGAAAAGACAACAGAGAGAACCTAAGCACAAGCAGAACTTGTCCATGGAGCTTAGGGTTGTGAGTGAATAGACCCCACCGTAGGTCTACATGATTCATTTACTCTCCAGTTTTGGTTTCTCATTCTAACATAGGGCTGAAAGCCTATGGCAGGAAAGGATTGACTTTCCATCATGTCTAGGGCACCTCTACCATTCTTTCCCCACAGTAGGTTACTGGCAATTTGCAGCAGCTCTAGATTCACCACAAGGTCTGTCACAGGCTCAGTGGTGCTAGATGTTTCTTGGGGTGTAGCCGAGAGGGTAGCATTGCTTTTCTAACCATCCCTTTGTACCCTTTTCTTCTCCTCCTCCTCCTTTTTGCACTTCCTTGCAGCCAAGCCTACAAATCGGATGGAGGGCACCAAACGGCCACTTATTGCTAAGTCTGGCAGGACAGAAAAGATCTTGGTAGCTACCTGCACCTCCTCTAACGGGAAGCCCCCCAGCACTGTCACCTGGGACACTAAGCTCAAAGGGGAAGCGGAGTTTCAGGAGATCCGGAATAGCAATGGCACCATCACAGTGATCAGCCGGTATCCGGCTGGTGCCGAGCCGGGAGGCCCACCGGCAGCAGCTCATGTGCGTGGTCAATTACCAGCTGGACCGCTTCACTGACAGCATGACCCTCAACGTGCAGTGTAAGTGAGCATGGGCAGGGCTGGAGAGCAACATGCCGTCGTCCTTCCCAGGGGGGAGGTGATAAAGTCTGGCAAAAGAGGATTTTTCTGAAGGGAAGATGTTGGTCTGGTGGAGGGGCTGAAGTAGGGGGCTGCTCAATTTTCTGGAGAGTGAAAACTGGAGTGATCCCTTGGAATAACCATGTGCTTTCTCTTTTTCACACCTTCTTTCTCTCTCTGCCTCTGCCACATCCCTTTGTTCCTCCCCATCCCTCTCTCCTTCATTCACCCTCTCTCACATTCTTTGTCCCTTCATCTTTCCCACCTTGCAATCTCTCATTCTCCCTTCCCTGCCCCCTCATCTCTTCCTATTTAATTTTCTCCCCCTTCCTTTACCATAACTCTTTCCTCTCCCTTTTCCATCCTGCTTTTCTATCTTTTTCATCCCCCTGCAGATGAGCCAGAAGTCACTATTGAAGGCTTTGATGGCAACTGGTTTCTCAACCGGAAGGATGTGAAGCTGATATGCAAATCGGATGCCAACCCCCCAGCTCACACCTATGAATGGAAGCTGTAAGTGCCTACGGTGCTTCTGCTCTCAGTAGCACATATGATCTCTGAACAGGGCAAAGGAGTCTCTGTAGAAACCTCAGTCCCTCTCTGGTCAATTAGGGCCCAGCCTCATTACTGGCAGTGGTGTCACTCCAAGGTAAAAGCTATGCATGTGAGGGGACAGTTGGACACTCGTAGCTGCTGGAGCTGTGCTCCTGCAGAATGCTCAGAGCTGATTCTGGTTCCCTGCACAGCTCTGCCAGGAGGCCTTCATTGCATGGGGACTGGAACTAATTTCTTTACTTGCAAACCAGGGAAGCTGCTGTCTTCAGCCTTGGCCTTTCTGGCTCACCCCCTCTGTGCTGATCATCCTCTGAAGCTGAGCTTGTCACATCCAAAACAAGGCTTGCTGCCCTGTCAGCCCTCCCTAGAGGGCAGCCTGTGCTTTTGAGGCAGGCAGTGCAATGTTTGAAGTGACTGGGGCAAGGGACTTACTTGCTTTGCCTGGACAGGCTTTATCAGAAGTTTCATGTGGCTTATGGCCCCAGCGGACATTGCTGGGACTAGCATTTTGGTTGAGCCAACACAGCCACCTCACCTTGTGATGGACAGAGGTTATCTCCTGCCTTTCAGCTGGGTCTTTCCCCATCATCTTCCAGTTCAGACTCAAGAGGGAAGGGCAGTGGGTAAGGATCATACACCCCCCTCTCCACTGGGCTGGGATGGAGCTTGCTACCAGTGCAGCGCAGCCTCAATTCCTAGGATAACTTCTTATTCTCACTGTGCTGGAATAATATTCTGCCCTGGTGATGTGAAGCAGCTGAGCTATGACAAGGTGAATAATTTTCCCAGTACCACCAAGTGCTTCAGTAGCAGAGCTGGAAAAGAACCCAGGACTTCCCTTCCTTCAAGGGGCACAAATAGCACAAAAGTTGTCTGCCTGTGAAAAAACCTTTCCCTGGAATCAGCCTCAGCTGTAAGCAGGAGCTCCCTTTCAGAGCACTCGTCCCCAGGCGGCTGACATTAAACAGAAGCAATTCCTTGTCCTCCAGGGTTTCAGCTTTTGGCTGAACACACTAAAGGGACTGAGAAGTGAACGAGGGGTGTCTGGGGAGTCAAATGGGAATTGATGCAACCTGATGTGGTTCTCTCTCCCTCTCTTTTCTATAAGCACTCATGTAGCTTTAAAAAAGAAAGATCAAATGGATCCTTTCTTCTTTTCAGCTGGCATTTGTCATCAGGAAAGAGGCTCTCAAAATGGCTTTGCAAGGAGCTAGGCATATTCTCTCTCATTCCGCTTCCCAGATCAAACTGTTCACAGTCGAAGTCTGAAGAGGATTGTTTTTCTTGCCTTTTTTTCAAGTTCTCGTCCCCAGCTTTCTCCCTCTGTTGGTTCTGCCAGTTCAACTTAAACTCCGAGGGGGCTCTCTGGGTTCCTCACAACATTGCCAGGAAAGTGTTAGAGGCAAAGATGCCCCTTGTGGCACCCAAGGCAGAAGAGATCCCAGTTGAGGCTATCTCCACGTAGCAAGGCTGGCAAATTGAGCTGAGGCGAGCCTTGTGAGATGGAGCTGGGGACAAGAGGCAGGTTTTCACTCTGCTTTTGGGCAACACATTTCACCCCTTGGTTCTGCTATAGCTCACATGTGGGGCTGGAGCCTGAATACTTGCCGGGGTCCCGGGCATCAGGCTTTCTGTGGCAGGAGCTCTGTCGCTGTGTATGGACACAGCCAGCATCACAAGCAGACCCTGATCTCTGTTGGGACAGTCTGCTCCTGCTGTGATAGTGATGCTGGAGGCAGGCTGAGAGCTGAAGCACGGGGTAACCAAGTGCCAAATGTCTCAGCCAGGTGATGTTTCTGTAGCCCGGGGCAGGACAGAGGGTTAGTTACCAGCTAGGCTCAAACACAACAGGGAATGCAGGTGCCAGGGCTGAGCGTGGCGCTGCGTCACTGGGCAAGTGTCATTTGCACACCTGCTTTACACGCTGTGCTGGCAATAAATTCAGCTCTGGCAGAACCGATTCTTGGGCACAGCACATCTTTGAGCCAGGCATTGAGTTGGTCCCTATGTGCTTGTGTGATTGATAACTTTTTTTTTTTTTTAAAACACTGGAAAGAGTTTTTTCCTATGGATTCTATATGAGCTCTGTGTATGTCCATTTGTCTGTCTTTAGCCTGCAGTGGTTTCTTGACTTAGAGCTAAGAAGCTGGGAGCATCAGTACTTTGCTTTGGGAAGGAACTGTGGGGAGAAAAATGGAGAGAGAGAAAGCATGGAATTAAAGAGTACAGGTTTTGAAGTCTGATAGCACTTCAGTTTGATTCGCCAGCCTGTCCCTTTTTGCACACTTGGTGGGTCAGTTAGGACTGAGTATGAGATTATTGACCTGAGAGAGGATGGAAAGGAAAGATGGAGTGCGGCTGAAGGTAAGGAGAATGGAGATGGAAGAAGAGGAGAGTAGGGAGTGAGAGAGAGCAAGTGAGGCTGGGGGAAATAGAGGCAGAAGGGAAGGAGGAAGAAAAAGCTGGGGCACAGTCCAGACTCTGGCTCTCCCATTCTTGGCCCCAGGTTGCCCCTGAGTGGGGCCCGGCAAGGAAGAGGCAGACCAAGCAGATGGGATGAAAGCCTGATAAATAATTGCACTGCAGCCAACCACATAGGCATGCAGCGTGTGTGTGTAGGGAGGTAAGGAGTGGGAATAAGATCCATGGCCATCCCCTTCCTTCCCACAGTGCCACTTTGGTAATATCAAACCGATTCATTTCTTTGGCTGGGCAGCCAGAGAAATAGCCACCAGCATCTTTGGTTTATCCATTTATGCCTCTTCCCATTCCTGGGGGTCAGGAAGCAATTACTGCTGCTGCTGGTTTGCTCCTGCCTGGAATGTAAAAACCAGCCATGCTTTCCCCTCCTCTCATTTGGATGGTGATGAGCAACAGTCAGGGGAGCTGTTAGAGGAAGCAATAGCCTTCTCTAGCATCCCACAGCACAGTTCTTAGATGTGCCCTTGTCTTTGTAGAGTCTGGGCCCTAATTCACCACAGGCAGAGGACCAACATTACGCTCTTCTATTCTTCCATCAGCTTTGGGATCATTGGCTTGATGTACCTGGGAGAGACTAATGTGTTTGCTACACATATGTGCCTATGTGTATATGTAGACGTGCAAAATACGCGCTTGTGCATTTAGGCACTTCTTTACAAACCTAATTATACCCCCATTACTCCCTTTTGTTTCTTACAAATTGCTGACAATATGTGCACATTTTTGTTGGGAGGAGGGGAAAGAATTACTTGAGTAATTTTTAATTGCCTAAGAGAAGTAATTACTTTACTTTGCTTCAGTAATTAAGAATAACCAGGACATGTGTGTCTTTTCCTAACACACAGGGTTTTTTTTATTTTTTATCTGCCTTTCTTCATTTATTCTCTGTGTCTCTAGACTTAGTTTTGCATTATTCCAGTTTCACACTTATCTGACTGCTCTGACATGAGCAGGTCACAGATGGCAGGGCTCTAAATCAGCACCGCTTTACTAGAGCTTGAGTTGCAATTAACACTGCCTGATCAGCTGCCCAGGACAGTTACATGGGCAGGAAATTGGAGTAAAGCAGGGTCCGGTTGGTGTCCCATTCCTGTGTTTTCCATCAAATGGAAAGTCAGGGATGGAGGAACACTCTGAAGATGAGCCTGCTAGACGTGAGCCACCTGAAACAAAGGAGCGACCTGGCCATCTTGCCCTAAGCTTGTACCTACTTGGGCATTGTGCTGGAAAATGCAGCGCTTTAAGGCTCTGAGTCTGTTTTTTGGATAGGGAAGACCATAAACTGAAAATGCTCCACACCCTGTCAGCCAAATCCAAGGGGCTGTACATGACCCAAATATGTCCAGTCTCCCTTGTAATCACAGAGAAGGGGAAAAAAAAAACCCAGTCCATGTAAAGAACCTGATTCTCATCATGCAGTGGATTTATCCTGGAGACACTCTACTGACTCTTTCCTGTAATGCTGAGGTCTGAGGGTTTGGTTTCCAGGCTGACTACATTAATGGGTATTTTCCAGCCAGCACCACTGGGTTCTGGACCTGCCCCCTTCGTCCTGCAAGCGCAGAACCAGCATGTCGGTGTCGCCTCTGCAATACTGCTTCACCCTACTGAGTATCATCTCTGGGGTCAACCACGATCTTTGTTTCCCCTAGGCCAAATGGGACTCTGCCAGGGAGCGTGGAAATCCAGAACAACACCATCTACTTTAAAGGGCCTGTCTCCTACAGCGTGGCTGGCACCTACATCTGTGAGGCCTCCAACGCCATCGGTACACGGTCAGGCTTGGTGGAAGTCAATGTCACAGGTAGGAAACCACTTGGTGTGCTTTGAAAGACAAGAGGAGGAGCAGGTGGGGAGAGGAGAGTGTGAGCAGCTGACAACTACCATCCAGTTACATCTGCTTAACTTCTGTCTTAATCATCAGTGTCTCCTTCTAGTGGTGGGTGGGGAGTTCCACGATGTAAAAGGGAGCGGTGAAGTTACTTGCTTTGCACTGGTTTTGCACTGGTTTGGCTTGGATTTTTTCTCGTTTCCTCTTGTTGTCTTTTCCTTTCTTACACCAAGATACATTCAATTTGTTTCCCCCTTGTCTTCTGCTTTGGATTCAGAGAGATCATTGGACATGTTAGAAGCGAAGACATGTCAGGGACATATTTGTTAGAAGGTAGAAGAAGAAGTAGGATGAGGATGTAGACTGCCACTGAAGCAGCAAAGCATGAGATGGATGAGCCATTTGCTCAGAATGATGTTTGGCGTTTCTGATGTTAGGCAATTCTCCTTATTTTTCGTTTGTGCTCCTTCCAGTGCCATGTTGGTCTGTGCGCTGGCTCACCTGGCTGCCACAGATTACTGAGGGGTTGTGAGCACTTGAGTAGCTTTGGCTGGGCTCCGGAAAGGAATAACATCACGGGATGCAGGTGATGGGAAGTGATGCTATGTGACGTCATTTGGGACAGGAGGAACTTGACGACTTCCAAATCAATGTAGCCACAGGAGTGAGGGAGAATCGTGGATATTCTTAGGTAGTGTTAGGGAGAGAAAGTGATGTCAAGAAACAGGTTAAAGAGAAGAAATAACATATGGCAATAGCCTGATTTCAGAGAGACAAAGTGATATTGCAAGGCATCAGCAAAGGGGAAAAGTGGCTGTTGGTGCTTTGAGAGCAGGGAAGGGGAAATTTCCCTATTCCTTTGGGGTAAAAGGAGCGCTTCGTTTTATCAGTGGGTTAATGGCAGGCGGTGACCAGCAGTTGTGGGTCTTATGAGAGAGATGGAAATACCTCTTGCAGTAGTGAGTTGGAGCACTGCCACAGTGCAGTGGGCTCTTGGGGGTTAGAGGAGAGAGCGACCATCTGATGAAGCAGCACTGCCTGCCTGGGAGACAGGCCTGGCAGCTGGGGCAACTTGCCAAGGCTCTCCACTGGCCCCCCAGCTGGCCAGCAGCACTGCGGGGGCTCAGCGCTGGTCTCCTTCGGGTGCTCCCCCTACACCCCAGCTTGGGACCGTTGCCAGGCGGGCAGGCAGCACAAACCACGGCACACAGCCACTTTTCCAGCTGGGCTCATAGCAGGGACCGTGTGGTGGTGTAGCTCCAGACCTGCTCTTGCTGGGGAGAGCAGCATGGCTGTGACTGCAGCCGGGTGAGCTGGATTGCAGCCGGCTGCCTGCGTCCTGCAAATGCCACGGACAGCACAGGTTGCCTCCAAGCTGGATGGGCAATGAGGTGCATGGGGAGCTCCCAAGGCATGGGAAATACAGGGCAGGTTCCTAGGGTTGCTAGCTCTTCCTTGCTGTCCAGCCTGAGGCAAATCAGAGCGCCTACTGTTCTGATAGTGGGCCACCTCTCTGAGCCACCCCAGCCCTTGAAGAGTTGTCTAACCTGAGAGTGGTGAAAGGGCCTTCTCAGAGGGGCTGAGCTCCAGCCCCCTCCACAGCTCTCTGCAGTGGTAAGTGCTGAGCAAGGGTGAAGAGGAGGCCAGGGCAGCTGACCTCCTGAAATTAGCAGTCACACTGTGTTTGGCACCCTTACCACCTCAGTTTCCCCTCTTCTGTAACACGGGTAAACCAGGCTAATCTTCCTCTATGCAAGTGCTTGGAGGTCAATGGATGAGATGTGCTAATTAGATGCTAATTACCAAGTATTTATTATGATCATTATCACTGTAGCAGGCCTTTAATTCACACCTCCTGTCCTGGATCCCTGCCTGCTGAGTTGTTCCTGGTATATGCTTTTCTCTGGGGGATTTTTCATTTGCCAGTGAAAGGCACCAGAATAACAAAGCTCTTTGTTCAGGACAAAGGCACACAGCACCCGCCCTGCCCAGCCCTGCCCCCCCGCCCCAAGCCGGGGGAAGGTCATGGCCAAAATCCTGTTCAGCCACTGGCCATTTCATGGGAGTTGCCACCAAAGGCACTGTGTTTCTGGGACAGTGCAAGCAACTGCCTGGTACAAACTGAGCAGACTCGCTTCCCATCGGCAATAGAAAACCATCCCACGCAGTAACTAGCACCTTGGGTCACATTTGAAATGGTGATTGGAGGGTAAAAGCCTCCAAGCTCAGTCTCCCGGTCGCAGAGAAGGAGGTGGGATAGATATTGCAGAAGGCTTCGAGAGGAACAGGCTCTCTTCGCCATGTCTCATTTTCCATTTCTGCATTAGCCTGTATGACCATTTCTTGCTGTCGTTCTGTCTATCCGACCACCCCGTATCCCTTGCAGTGTCAGGACACATGTTCCCAAGCAGCAGATACAGCCCTCACTTCATATTTCCGGCAGCCACCCGCCAGCATTTCGTCTGTCTCAGAGCCACAAGAGCATTGCAGCCTGGGTGGGCTGCACCGACTCGCCTGCGTGGGCACGGGCTCCTCTAGGGCCGAGGGTCTGTGGGTTCCCCCTCCGGGCTTTGGTAAATGTCTTCCTTCCCGGTGGTTTTTCAGGGGACTGGTAGAGCATCGTTCTCACGCTTGATGAGCGCAGTGCTGGCAAGGGAAGCGCGCACTGGCAGGATTTCTGGGGAATGACTTTGGGTTGATGTCTGCCTGCCTATAATCTCAATTTATTCCCAAAGGTCTGAAAAGTGGGATTGAGGTTAAATGAGAGGCAAGGAAGGACACACCAGCAGCTGCCTCGCTAGGAGGGATTAGCAGCCAACCCGTTAGGCCAGGCCTCCACCACATAAAAACCCCACTTTTAATAATTCATGGGATCTGAATATGTTTATCCAGCTCTCCCTAAGGACCGATTAGGCCAGTGCTGGGGGAGGGCTCAGCCGTCCTCGCTCAGCTATTACAGGTACATTTGTTTGGGTCTTGCAGGCAATTTAGGGATTGTCAGTGGACCACAAAACCTCTTTCAAGAGCTGCATGCAATAAATGGAGTTCAATCTAGTGAGCAGCCAGCCTTGGGAGGGAGAAAAAGAAGGCTGATGCAGAGAAAACCCTGCAGCGGCTTTTCCCCCTCCTGTCTCACCGGGTACAGACCTCCTGCCTCCTTCCACCCAGCATCCTTCCTCCCAGCCCGGGCCCCCGAGGGGAGGAGTGCAGGGCTAGTTGAGCCCCCTCATGGGGAGGGCGATTTGTTCAGAGGAGGCCGAACGCTTCTATTAGAGTTATAGCACATTAAAGAGATTGATAAGTGGAAATTTAATATTTTATTCCAGCAATCTGTTCCTATAATAGCTTCTCCTGCCTTGCAGGACCTTTGTCAGTCTCAGACAAGCCATGTAGTGTGACATGTAACTATTTATTACAGGCGGCCAGGTGACATAATAAAAGGCTGTGGTTACAGACTGCAAGCGTGTCCCTGCATGCCTGCGCACGGCTGTGGTGGTCCTGCGCAGAGAGCTGGTCATGTACACACACATGTGTGTGTGCCCCCAATCTGCATCCTGGCACACAAACGGGCCTCCCAAACCTGCCTGCCTACACAGCCGTGTGTACATGCAGGACGCAGGAGCATCAGTGCATTGGCATGTATGAATATGCATGGCTATAATACGAACACGTGCTTGGCTATATGGGCTTGTGTGCAGCATATACATACCCTGGTCCTTGTGCGTGTGTGTTCATAAACATTTGTGTGTGCATGCAGGGGGACGTTCATACACTTGGGTACCAACTTCAGCTAGAAGAAGCACAAGGAGAAAGATGTTAAAACATTTCCTCGTGGGCCTTCAAGCACCAGGCAACCATCAAACCCGACGGAGAATCAGTGCTAGAGCTGGGGAGCAGGGAGAGCAGAGCCTGTGGTGAGGCAGTGACCGCTGCCAGCCTCTCTGCTGCAGGGCTCCCGCCTGTTTCCCGAGGCCAGGAAGGGGTCTTTTCCTCCAGAATACTGCAGGGACCCCCGGTTGCTTGCTTGGTGTAGCCACACCTCTGCACGCCCCTGGATTTCCAGGAGACAGGACACAATGTGCAGGTGCCCCGGGGAGCGGCTGCGATGACGGGAGGCTCTGTGCCGTTCCCTGCCCAGGGCCGTGCCAGCCCATGGGTAAGCAGCTTTGCAGCCTTGGCCTTGAAAGCGCTACAGGCTGTGGAGGGGAGGAGAGGTTGGCAGGGACTGACGGTCCCCCCGTTTGCAAGAGAAAGCCCTTTCCGGGAAGCGTTAAATCCCAAGCCCGGAGCAGGTGCACCCAAAGCCCAGCCGCCGGCCAGGGCTGTGCCGCGCTGCACCAGCCAGTGCTCCTGGCTGCTCTAGGTGGGCGGACGTAGGGCCAGGGGCTGGAGAGCAGCACGCCTGGGGGGTCCTGTCTGGTGCTAATCTTCCGGATGGCGGGTAGGAGCGTCTGCTGCATCCTGTCTGATGGCATCTGTGCCAACGGCCCCTGCGGGAGCGGTGCTTGATTGACAAGCGATAGGTGACCTGACAGAGAGATTAAAACCTAAGACACGTTTGGCATCTGGCCTAAAAGCCGTCACGCTCTGAAATGCCAGTGGCAGCTGCTAAACTTCTGGATTAGTTGCCAGTGGTTTTTCCACCCCCACCGCCTCCTCTCCTCCCCACCCTGCTCTGCACAAGGAGAGCAGAACTCCCTGGCAGGGAGAGGAAAGGCAGGGTCCCTTGGAGCTGAGATGGGCATGCAGAGATGCAAGGGCTGTTGTGAAGGGAAAAGGACAGAAGTGCTACAGGCTTCTCACATTGCAGCCCCGTGCGGGCTGAGGCAGGTCCAGAGGTATCTCCGTATCTTTACTTATGTACACGTCTACAGCACAGCGGGTCAAAGTCCTGGGATAATTTGGCGTGGACTGTACTGGCAGGGGAGGTTTGCCATCAGCAATCTGTCTTGTAAAAAAACCCGCATGATCACCACTCTGTTTGCTGAGGCCAGCTGGGAACTGGGAAGCTCCATGAGCCCATCGGAATTAAGGTTCCTGCTCCTCCCCGGAGCTGCTGGTCGCCCTGGCTAGAGCTGGCCAAAGGCCACTGCTTCCCATTGCAGCAGGTGTTTGATTTTGCAAGGCAGAAGGAAATCCAGGGCCTTCCTCTGGAGGAGCTTCATGCAAGGAGCAGCTTGGGCTGACACGTGTCCAAAAGGTAATTTCTCATGGAGTTTGACATTTTCCTCAATGCCCATGGCTACAGTGAGAATCTCAGCTGGTGCTGGGTTTTTCCTTGGCCCTTATGATTGAAGGGAAAAGGATGGAAATGTGACTTCAAGAAAAAATGTGTCCACATGAAGTAGTATCTTTTAAAATATCTAAGCAGCGTGATGAGCAGAAGGGCTTTTGAAAGCTGGTTTCCTGTGGATCTGCATATCATAGAAGAATTACTTGGTATCTAAAAATATGCTTTTTCTGATCTGGGCCCTTCCTGCCCTTGGGAGCAGCCTCTTGTCCCTGTGGGTTCTCTGATGTCTAATGAGGTTTAGCTCCCACCTCTGCCAGGGATCTCACTCCAGCTCTCTCCAAGAGCTTTATGATAGGGGTAATTTTGGCTCATTCTTCTGTCAGATAGCAGTGAAATTGGCCAGCAGGTTCAAAAAGATTAGATAAGGGATTGATGGACAGGCAGCGCGATTTGCATACGTCTCATTTTTATTGGAAACCAGCCATTGAAAGAAAGATGTGATTTTTAAAACGTGTATTTTTGTAGCCACGCCTGTGATGAGGAAGGCCTGGTTTGTCTCTACAAGTGGCAGCACCACCATGCCCCTGGGTGCTGCAGGGGGAAGGCAGGAGCCAGGGCAGGGAGATGCTCGAGCCCTCCGCCTTGCTTGGGGGGATCAAAGAGAACCTGTGGGCTCGGCCGGGTGCCAGAGCGAAGCCCCGGGCGACCGCCCCATCTCCCTGCGCTCCCAGCTGCCGCCCCAGAGGTCCGGCTCCTGGCACGGGGACAGGAAGCGGGGCTGAATGCAACAGCTGGCAGAGCCGGGCAGCGGGCAGATAGTGTTGCTGCTTTAATTCCTATTCATACAGCACTCCCTTTTTTTTTATGAGGGCTGGGGGGTAGCAGGAGGGGGGGAGGCTTTTTATGCTGGCATTAAAGCCTGGCTTGTTCCCCCTCCCTCCGCTCCGCTGTCTCCTGTTTCTCCAGTCCGCTTTTCACAGCAGCTTTAATTCTCTCCAGACTCTTCCTAATGGATTTTTCACATGGGGCCCCCAGCACGCTCAGGCATCGCACCAGTTTCCAGAAATTTCACGCACCCCTCAAACACAAAAAGGGGATCCTTTTCTCACACTTTCCCGTCTCTCCTCAGGCTGCATTTCTGCTCTCTTTTGCACCCCAGACACGAAACTCGGTGGGCAGAGGGGTAAATCCCTCTTTGTGGGGCTGACAGCAGCGGATGCAAGCGGAGCGACACCCACAGAGTGGCGGACCTGTCCCGAGTCATTAATTAACCTGGCTGCTGAACACACCGGGGCACCTTGGCAGGAGCCTGCAGGCGTGCCAGGCTGTGCCCGGCAGCTGCGGGGCGCGGGGATCCCCGCCAGGGCTTGGCTCTGGGGGAGGCTGGAAGCCAAGGGATCCGGCTGCGGGGGGAGCCGGGCTGGGGCTCGGGGTGGCACGCTGCTCCCTGCTCGCCATCTGGCTTGAGAAGGGGACCTTGTCGCAAGGCAGAGGCACGCCAGGGCAGAGCCCAGGCCAGGGACCCCGCTCCCTTTCCAGCTCTGCCGCTCGCTGCAGCCCAGCGGCCGTGGAGAGGGGCTCTGGCAGTGCCCACCCCTGCTCCGGAGCAGCCTGTCCCCTCCTGCCTGGGTCACTCACGCCTCGTTCGTACCCGTCCCCCCCACGCAGGGCTTAGCCACGTTTCCCCATTGCATCCCAGAGCTGCTTGCTTTTCCAGGCTCCGGGGGAGTGCGGTGGGTGGACGAGGGGGGAGAAAACTATGTGGGAAGGGAAGGGATGATTTCGGCTGCTGGCTTGCGATCTTCCCATCTTTCTTCTCCCTCTCTTCCCACAGTTTGGTTTTGTTTTCTCTGGCATGGGAACTGGGCCACTGCGAGGAGGATGGGGATGGGATCTGAGCAGAAAATAGTTCCTTCCCCGAACAACGTGTGAAATCCAACACGGCGGCGTGTTAGTTTTTGTGTCCACGGCGTTGGCAGTGGCAGGGGGGTGGCATGTAGGCGAGTGCTATCTCAGGGGCGGGCAGCACAAAGGGCGGGAAAAAAATAAATATATATGAGAAAGGTAGAAAAACATTCCCCCTTTCACTTCATGCGTCCAACCTGGGCTGTTAATGAGGCTTTTAATAGAAAAGTGGGCCAAGCTCCTTTTGAAACTGTGCACAGACTTCCCCTCTCGGATCTGTCTGTTTTCCAGAGCTGGGAGGCAGAGGGGATCAGTATGGCTTTAGGGACCCTGTGCTCAGCACACACACCGTATCTGGGTCTTTTCGGGGTGGGGTATTGGGACCCATGGTCCCATGCACAAAATCAGCCTTGGTGTGGGGAAAAGCGAGGTAGGAAGAGGCTTCAGATTGGAGCTATGGGGTGGGGGAAAATCAAAGATACAGCCCCCAGGGTCTGAGCCAGCTTGCTGGGATTTCTCTGCACCCACTTAAGCTCCAGGTAGACCCCTGCTTTGCGCACAGTTTTGGGAATTGGGCACCGTGGGGTTGCAGAGGCTGTGATGGCAAGGAGCAGGCCTGGGGAGGTGGCATGGGCAGGGTGGCAAGAGCTCTGTGGATGCTTGGGTGGTTGAAGTTGAGCCCTCAGGAGCCAGGACTACTAGGGGACAGACGTGACATTTCTTGCTGTCTCTGCAGAGAGGTTTTGCATTAACCAGCTGGCTATGACAAGCCTTCTGGTGATGCAACATGTGGTTTTGGCTTTCCAAAACCCAGCCCCAGTTCCCTATGCTGAAATACATGCCCTTGCTCCTGCTCTGAAGGCTGTCTTTGGAAAGAGATGCTGGCTCCTGCCTACACAGCATGTTGCTCTTGATTCTGGCTGCAGCAGGGAGCCCCTCTGTCTGCCTGTCCCCCAGCTCGTTCTGCCCAGTGTGCTGCTCTGTGTGTGGTTTCAGGGTCGTGAGGCTTTGCTTGAGGCAAGTCAGGGCTGCAGAAACCAAGATGCTGTTGTTGGGATGATGTCTCAGGAAATGCAGGAATGAACCAGCTCTCAGGCACAAGCAAAGCGTTTAAGCTGCAAGGATCAGACCAGCAATTGCTCGAATTCAGTACCCTTGTCCAAAATCTGCAGCTGTTTCAGGAACTGCCTCTACCCAGGGAAAGCTCTTTTCTCCCCTCTTCCTTAGCGGCTGGGCCAGGCTGTGCTGCAGGGAAACCCGCTCCCTGCCCAGCTCCTGCTTGCTCAGGGCTTTCTGCCCCAGTGCAGGAATGTGGCTGCCAGCCCCAGGCAGTCCTGCGGGCGCATGGGGAGGCGGCAGGAATCAGACTCTGCCTCGTACATCCCTTTTGAATTTGCTCGCCCCTCCCTCCCCATCGCCCCATCCTGGCTGCTCTTCTGGGAGGGCATGCTGACACTGCTGGTCGGGCTGTGCCTCTCCTTGCCTGCCAGGGTAAAAAGTGAGGGCCAGGATGCTCCAGAGCAGCAGTAACAGCTTGCAGCCATGAGCAGGGCTGGCAGACAGGCCTTGGGGGTAGAAAAAGCAGAGTGGGGGTCTGAGCATGGTGTGCAAGGGCAAGGCTGCCAGGGGGTATTAACCAGGCGCCTGCTGTCTAAATTCAGAGGCAGGTGAAGGACTGAGACAGCCGTGTGGTGCTTAGTGCTTCATGGACGTGGATGCTCAACAGGAGGTTTGTGAAAGCTGAGTTTGGCCAGGGGCTGTAACTGTGCTGAGGGAGGTTAGGAAGGTTGATTTAAGTCCTGGATGAAACTTTATCTGTGTCGATGTGTAGGTGTTGAACTGCATGAAAGAGAAGAGAGCTTCTTTCTCATCTCTTTTCTTTTTCTCCTTTGAGTTATTTATTTTTTTTAAATAGGTCAGGGTAACTGTAGGAACGAGATTAGCATGAGTAGTGGCACTGTGCTGGCCACAGTAATAGCAGAAGAAAAAGAAACAGTGGGAGGTCAGCATCTGTGTGCTGCAGAGCACAGCTGGGTCAGCAAGCGGGCTCAAGAGCCAGCCATGACCCTGAGCAGCCACAGATTTGGGGTGGCGATGGGGGGGGAGATCACAAGGTGCCGCTGCCTTCTGGCCTGACCTAGACTGGTTGGGATCAGGCTGGGCTGGGATGCCGAGGAGAGGGATGCAAAGCTGGCAGGTCCAGCATGGCATCTACAGGAGCAGTCGTGGCAGCTCGGTGCCCACCGTTGGATGGGGTTTGGGTCCTGCTCCCCAGCAGGAGCACCCTGGGGCTGTCAGTGTGCTCTGGCAAACTGGACCTGCAATGTCACCCGGTAAAACGGAAAGCGTCTGGACTCAAGGCACTGGGCTTGTGGGATCTGAGCACGTCTGGAGAAACCAGGTGGGGTGGGGAGGGAAACACTGCTTCCAGCCGGCTAGGCTCCTGCATGAGGCTTGGCGAGCTTGGCACAGCACGCTGCGTTCCCCTTGCTAAGGCAGAGCTCCCATGCGCTGACCCCTGTGAGGATGCACCCTTTTCCCCTTTCCCTAGTTTTTCCCTTCCCTGTTCCTTACCCTCATCTTCCCACCCCCTCACCCCCCAAAAATGGCAATGAAAGCATGGAGGGAGGGCGCGTTTCCGCATGGTTTGACACTGTTCCCCCTTCCATCTGTCTTTTCCTACCTTTTTCGCCGCCCCGTCTCCAATCGATGATCGCAAATCCATGGTGCAGCCGAACATCCCCACACCGGTGATTGGGGGCATAGTGGGAGGAGTCTCGCTGGTCCTGGTGGTGGCCGTGGTGCTCTTTGTGGTACTCCGGCGCCGGCGTCACACCTTCAAGGGTGACTACAGCACAAAGAAGCACGTGTACGGCAATGGCTACAGCAAGGCTGGCATCCCACAGCATCATCCCCCCATGGCCCAAAACCTCCAGTACCCCGACGACTCGGACGACGAGAAGAAGCCGGGCCCGCTGGGCGGCAGCACCTACGAAGATGAGGACGAGGATGTGGGAGGCGAGCGCAAGCTGGGTGGCCCCAACAAATACGAGGAGGATGCTAAGCGGCCTTACTTCACGGTAGATGAGGGGGAGGCGCACCCCGAACCTTACGACGAAAGGACACTCGGCTTCCAGTATGACCCCGAGCAGCTCGACATAGCGGAGAACATGGTCTCACAGAATGACGGATCTTTTATCTCCAAAAAGGAGTGGTACGTGTAGCTCGGCACCCCATTGCTACACACACACACACGCGTACACGTA